TGTGTGTGCTCCGCCCGCAGGCAGGTCTGCAGCTGCCGCCGAGGATGGACATCAGGCCGAACCACACCATCTACATCAACAACATCAATGACAAGATTAAGAAAGAAGGTAACGGGGCCCATGACTCGCCTCTGGGCCGCGGCCGCTTCCAACAGTGGGGCTGGCGACCGCGGTGTCGCAGTACCGGGCGCTCCGGCTGAGAGGCGGCGGGTGTGAACCGAGCCCTTGGCAAACGGGTGCTTGCAACCACGCTGCAGCTGAAGTCAACAAATGCAGCACAAGGTTTAAGTCTCTGTTAGTAAGACAGGGCCCTTGTTCTTAAGGAAGCCTCTCGTCGCCTCCCTGCTGTAGTTCTGGAACTAACTGCACAGGCCTGGTTTGCTTCTCAGTGAATAACTAATGAGAATACCCGATGGATGCTAGCAAGGGTGTTAGCAGGCGTTTTGGTGGCCTCTGCAGTCCCCTCTTGCTGTGGTGTGGGGACATCTGTGTGCTTATCATTTGTTCAGTGCCTTGCAGAAGCAGAGAACATGGCATGAGCGAGCCTGCTTTGTATCATTGCATTGGAGGCACTGCTTTGCAGTTAGTGCAGCCCTTTGAAGAGATGACTTCATGCTGAGGAGCTTCAGCTCCTCGCAGTGCGCTGAAAATAAAAACCTTGCCCTTGCCTGGCTGTGTATTTAGTTTGTAAAACCACCCACTTTATGCTTAGCTTACAGTCTAAAGTGATTGCAGTACGATCACAGTAATTTCTTTGTTACTGTTTGTGAGCAGAGTGGTGAAATCAGATCAGCGCTACTTAGATGTTTCTTTGAGGTGCTTCAGAAAGATCTGAAAGTGCAAACAGGTTTACTGAGAAATTATTTCTTAACTTGGCAAGGTGTTTCTGCTGAATAAATTTGACTTGGGGCTTTGTTCTTTCTTTGTAGCCTGTGAAGCAACCTGAACTATAAACTAGAAAGTCTCCTTTATGAAATTGCATGGTTACAGTTTTTAAATGGAGGGATTTGAATTACCTGTGAAGTTTACGTATTTGATTTTTTTAGATACAGGTTTAGAAGTTATTTTTAAGGAAAGTGCTTTGATAAGAAAACTTGAAAATAGAGCAGTGTGGTTGGTTAGGAGCAGCTGGAGGATAGTGGGCTGGTATTACCAGGTCACTATTACCGATTACTATTGGTAATATTGGTTATTAGTGGTAAATAAGAGACAGTGCTCTTATGTTGCTGAAATACTTCAAATGTTAAGATTTGTGAGGTAGAATGATTACACAATACAGATGATTTATTTAGCTAGATTGGGTAAGATTAAGGTTTTCTTTGGTCTGTAGTCAGGTGATTTTAAATAATGAAAATAAATCCATTGCAGTTGTAGGGTACAGTGAGATCATACAAAAACACATTTGGATACAGTCTACGAAAAAAACATTTCATGTGGATGAGAGAACTGGTTAAAAAGTTACAAACAAATTTTCCAAACCGAATTAGCCTTTTAAGTAGTTACTATTTTGCGGTGGCCTTGTTTTAAGTCATACCTCTTCTGCATGTTATGGTATTGATTTTCTGATGGTATTGAAAAAGTGGTACAGCTTTTGCACTACATGAATACTAGAGGTGTGAAACTAAGTGTTACACGCCAACTTACAAAAACTGGGCAAATAAACTTGTGTTTGTGCAACAGTTTTGACTAAACTTATGTAACATAACACTGTGAGCTACAGCTGCCAGAAAACATTGTTGCTGAAGGACAGCAAACTCTGTAGAGGTGGACATTTGCATGTAGCTAATCTTCTTTTTTTTCATCTGGTCAACAGAACTGAAGAGGTCCCTGTATGCATTATTCTCACAGTTTGGCCATGTGGTTGACATTGTGGCTTTAAAGACTATGAAGATGAGAGGACAGGCTTTTGTTATATTTAAAGAACTTGGGTCATCTACCAATGCTTTAAGACAACTACAAGGCTTTCCGTTTTATGGGAAGCCAATGGTAAGTTATTTTGTTAGCTTTTTGAAGGAAAAAGGAATGCTGTGGTATGATACTGTGTTTTGGCACTTGCACCTTGTGAATTAACCAGCATGTGTACTTGCACTGTTGTTCAGGTGTGTCCTGTCTCGATGAATATGTGCAAGCTAGAGGGATGCTGAAGAGACTGTGGTTAAAACGCAGGGGTTGAACTTGGCATTTAGGTTTCCTAAATGATGGCTGCGTGTTTTTCTTTGCTGGATTAAAGTTTTGAAGATCTTAAATACTTCCATTTTATCTATCATGTTGTCTGTTGAACCAATTAAATTAATTCTGTAATATTATTGAAGTAATTTAACCATAAGCACTTAATCTAGAGTAAGCTTGGTTACTATTCTATTTGTAATAAATAGCTAGAATATAATGCTTCCTTTTTGAGGTAACAGTGAGTAGGGTGAAGGAAGTTTTGCTTTCCAGAAATCAACAGATGTGACTAGTGATTTATTTTTTCCAGTCAATGTGTAGTTTTGTTTGTGCGTGCATCAGATCACCAAGCCAAGTAACTGAATTTCAGTATAACTTGAGTGAAGCAAATTCACTGCAGTTTGATAGAATGTGATTTAACAATGTACTTGGTAACGTGTAGAATAGCACAAGGATTGACACATTGTTCCCTGCTTGGATAATTGGGCATGTCTTAATTCTGCAGCTTTTGTGACACATAATGATACATGCAAGTGGCCCACTTGACTCCCATTACGGATGGATATATTACTGCTGGCTTTCAGCTCATGGCTTTGGGCATTTAGGAGAGCACAGACAGTTCATGTTGCTGAACCACAAACTTTTTTCATTAACGGTCTCAGATTCCCCACTGAAATGCTTGACAAGGAATTGTGCAAGCTCAGTTCTGTCATTTACCCTTATAGAGGTTTGAGCTCAGTAAAATGCAATAGGAAATAAAAAGATTAAGGCTTTATAAGCTTTCAGGTGTACTTCCCTCTTTGAATATTGCCTGCAGCGTGCATGCTCTGTCTAAGCAAAAAGCATTTTAAAAAAAATCCACAACTGCTGTGTAATTTTGCTTTGAGTCTGATAGTCTCTGATAGTAAAAGTAATAGGATTGTGTGTGTCTGTACTTACTGCACATGAGGATACTCATAGCTGCATCTGCATGCCCTGGCTCCTGCATTGGGCAGCCTGTGTCAGAAAACCAGCACCAATATGCTGCTGACACAGTCTATGCAACTGGTTTGGATTAAGGCAGGTACTTGCCTCTCTATTTAAGAAGTCTGAGTTTTGCTGAACTCGGAGATCTGAGAAATCACTGTAAAATTTTAACTCCCCTTAAAATGGGGTTTAAAAAAATCCTCTGTCCTGGGTTCAGCTACAGCAGTCATTTTTTCTCCTTCTTAGTAGCTGGTGCAGTGCTGTGTTTTTGACTTTCAGTCTGGGAACAATGCTGATAACACCGATGTTTTTAGTTGTTGCTCAGTAATGTTTACTCTGACCAAGGACTTTCTCAGTCTCATGCTTTGCCAGAGAGGAGGGGAAGCCAGGAGGAAGCAGAGGCAGGACACCTGACCCAAACTGGCCAAAGGGGTATTCCATACCACAGCACGTCATGCCCAGTATATAAACTGGGGGGAGTTACCCGGAAGGCCCAGATCGCTGCTCGGGTCGGGCTGGGTATCGGTCGGCGGGTGGTGAGCGGTTGTGTCCTTTTCCCTTGTTATTCCTCTTATCATTATTACTGGTAGCAGTAGTGGTTTGTATTATGCCTTAGTTACTGGAGAGCTGTTATCTCAACTCGTGGGAGTTACATTCCTTCGATTCTCCTCCCCATCCCGCCGGGAGCGGGGGGAGGAAGGAAAAGGGGGGGAGTGAGCGAGCGGCTGCGTGGTTCCAAGTTGCCGGCTGGGCTTAAACCACGACATCCTCCTAGGGTTTTTAATAGAAGATTGTGCAAATTTTGTCACATGTCCTCACATCACTTTCTATATCTCTTATCTTGACAGGTGCTGAAAAGATGCTGTTAGATGAATAGGATTCTGATTCCAATGAGTTAAAAATTAGTAATTTCCATCTTAAGGGTTTTTTTAAGTTCCATAGTTGTATCTAGAATTAATCATGAGGATTAGATACTCTAACTATACCTACAGTTTATAGCAATATTTTTAATATAAGAAATTTCTGACAAAAAATGTAAATGCACAGAACACAGTTAATGAAAATAGAAAATGTTCAGTATTATTAACTGCAAATGTGTTGTTCTGTTTTGTTTGTGCTTTTTTCCCCTTTTAAAAAGCGGATTCAGTATGCAAAAACAGACTCTGACATCATCTCTAAAATGCGTGGTACTTTTGCCGACAAGGAAAAAAGGAAAGAAAAGAAGAAGGCCAAATCTCTGGAGCAGTCAGCAAATGCACCAAATAAAAAGGTTATCCAGGTAAGCTGCTTCTCTGTTTGAAAAAGAAAAACAAATACACACAAAGGTTATTTTAAGATGGGGTTTGGTTTTGTTTTGTTTTTTCAGGATTAAGTATTGTATTTTGGTACTTCTCAGTTCCCTGAATTGTGGTCTATTGATATCTGGTGCTCTTGTGCACTCACTAGAAGTTGAAGGAAAGGCAGCTGATAGCAGTCCTTGCTGCTTCCCTCCCCTCTCCTTTCCTATTACCAGATGAAAACAAAGGTGTAGGGCAAAGGTACAGTAAATCCAAGTAGGAACTAACCTCTTTATAGAAGAGGTAAAAAAGGAGGGGTGTGTACTTCTTTAATGCCAGCTTCAAAAGTGCTCAAACAGCTTTTTTCTTCAGTGTTTTAGTGCCCTGTTTGCTCTATAAGCACTGAAGAATGGTAAATGGGAACAAGAAAATGCATGTGCAGTTGGATGAAGAGGGGTTGGTTTGGAATGTATGTCTATTAGGGGTTGGCCTGGACTAAACTAATAACATTTAGTAATTTATATGCTGAAGTATAGCAGGAAATGCTGAGGCACAGAGTTTGAATACTGTGTTACTTAAGTACATTTCCTGCTTAGGCACAAATTGCTATTGAGAGAAGAATGTTCATAGAAAGCAACATTTTCTAGGTAGAATATTCAGATTCTTCAGGATTTATTAAAAAGTCAAATCATAATACAGAAATCTCTTACGAAATAATTGCTAGTAGCTATAATGGTAATAGCTTCAGTTATCCTTGCTAAAGCAAAGTCCTCGGTGGAAACACCTGTTTTCCTCTTGTTAAGTATGTCCTGCCTAGGCCTTCATTTTCAAAACTATTTCCTTCTTGTGTATTAAAACAAATACCATAATGTGGAGAAACAGTGATTTTCTGTATCTGCTGACTTGGCCATTAGTCAGATCAGCTACTACTGATGGATTTTTTCTTTGATCACCTGGTTTTGGAGTCCAGCAAAATTCATGAGCTTTGTATTTCCCTTCAGGAATCTCATAAGCAACAAACATTCCTTGGATTGCAGGTTAAAAAAAACCTTAACAACCTTCTTGAGTTGTACAGAAACATGCTGATATGGTTGTGCTTATGTATTTCTAACAGAACACCTTTGTAAAACTATTTTGTACTTATTCACTAGGGAGCAACACAAAATTCAGCCAGTGCCCCAGGGATTGCAGCACAGAATCAGCAGGTAATGCTTTTTTGTGTGTGTGTGTGTGTGAATAAAAGCACTAATGTTTAAAATTATTCTCAGTCAGTAACAGTTTTACACATGGAAACTCGAGGATATATTTTACAGCTTCCTTTTTGTTTTGAGACATTTGCCTACCAGCTAAATCACAGCAAATAAGTAAAAGAAATTCCAGTTTTACTGCATCTGGTTGACATGAAATGAGAATCTGCAGTTTCTCATTATTATACAGAAAACTGCACTATTAAGAAATCCCACTTTAATTCTTAAAGTTAAATCCATTGCAGGATTCTTAGGGTTGGGCTTTTTTTTCTCATTATTAATAAATTCCCTTTACATTATTTTGCTTTTGTAGTAGAAAAGAAGAAGGAAGACCACACAGGGTGCCAGAATATCTGTGTAAAAGCTTCCTTTCAGGGGGTTGTGGGTCCTCTGCTCACTTTTTTCTTAAAAGTGTCTTATTTTCCAAAGAATTGCGTAGAGTTGTAGCAACAACTCTCTACGCTTTGCTCATCTTGTCTGCTCAATAACCTTCTAAATTATGGACGTGTGTTAGAAGTAGAGGTAGTAAAGAGCCAAGATGTGCACTAGAGCAAATATTATGGAAGAGTATCTTTGCCTGCCCTGCATCTCTGTCTTGAATACTATCATTGAGAACTGTGTACTTAATCCACAGGGGAAACGTCTTGCCTCCAGTCTGGGTTTTCTTTTAGTTATCATTCGTACCAAAGGTACAATATGTGTATGTCAATTTGCATCAAAGCACAATCCTCAGTAGGTTATTTGTTTGAAGTTCAGAAGTTTGTTTTCTAATGGCACTGCCTGGAACATTTCCAGCAGCTGAAGGAAATTATTGTGCTGAAACATTAACTTCTTGGCACTGATATTAGAACGTTTGAAGTTGTGGTGTCCAGTTTATTTTTATTTTTGCAATGTCCTTGATGAATTGGGGAGATTCTGGTCTTTAAGTCCAGTGTCAGCAAACTGACTACTCAGCCTTGTGTCTGATGGGTTGCTAGAAATTCATATTAGCAGGGAAATCTGTTAAGGACTCTACAGACTTTAAATGTAATGGGGTTTCTAATTAATAAATTTGAGCACTATAGTAGAACTATGTGGGTTTTGTGGGCTTCAGTTACCAAAAAAATATTCAGTGTTTCAATACTACAGCAGCTGAGCAGGGTATTTATCTTGTTATTTATCCCACTGCTCTTTCAGAAGGATGTGAGTCTTTCAGAGGTTCTTCCACTGCTATACAGATGTTTTGGGCAGCACTACAGCCAGAACTTGGGCACCTGGGTCCCATCACTGGCAGTGCTGAGAGTACTGTAGTATCAGCTGTTGAGAATCCAAGTCTAAATGTGACATCTAAGACAACATGTTACTGTGACTTTTGGAAGTAAGAGCCTCTGCAAATGAGTATATCCTTGTAACAGAATTAAGGGGCTCTGTCTGTATATTGCATGAAGGTATACTGAAGTCCAGCAAGCAGTGTTATGAGCAATACTTAAGGATATGAGAGTCTTGGTTCTAATAATCATGGATACAGATGCAGAGGAACAGATATTTGTGTATAATCTTTTGAGCTTTGATCTTCTGTTGTTGCAGGTGCCTGACAACCCACCTAACTATATCCTTTTCCTTAATAACTTGCCTGAGGAAACAAACGAGATGATGCTGTCCATGTTATTCAATCAGTAAGTTCTGAATAAAAGGACTTCTCCTTTGAATTTTTACCTGTATGCTTTTTGTCAGTTGGCAAGCTGACTTTTTAGGAATAAGAGTTTTTTCTGAAGGTATTTCAGGTCTTTGTCTTACTGCCAAGATTACAGATGTCAGTTCTGATGACTCAGTTCAGAAAGCAAATCCGATTTATTCGTAGCTGGTTCTGATTGTGTAAGTTATCTACCATCAATCTGCACTGGATTTAAGCTGGCGACTGTAATATTAAAGACATTACGACAGCAGCAGCAGCTTTAAAGCTAGCTTTAGTTGCTTCTGTGTGTGTGCAAGACTGATTAAATTGCTTCCAGATAATGGTCCTTAATTGAGGTATGGTTCTAAGACTGGACATGTAAAAGCCTTCAATTTAAATCTTCACTAGTAGTAACTCTGATACTAGTAGATGCTTATGATAAGGTCTTACAGCTACTGATAAGAGATGTATTATCAAACTAGAAAATATCTGACTCTGACCTTATTTTAAAGGTTTCCTGGATTCAAAGAAGTTCGCTTAGTGCCCGGGCGCCATGACATTGCATTTGTGGAGTTTGAAAATGAGAATCAAGCAGGAGCTGCCCGAGATGCTCTCCAAGGATTCAAGATTACTCCATCTCATGCCATGAAAATCACTTACGCGAAGAAATAACCGGATGCTCCTATAAAGGAGTTGTGAGGATAGTTGGGTTTTTTTTAACGCAATGATACTTTGCTCAGCTAGCATGTTTGCTGTTCTCTGGAGAAAACTTAAGACTTGTGTACAATGGCCACAACAGTCAGGAGGGACATTGGATTTCCACAGGTCTACTAGATAGTAAATTTTTGTGTTGAAATACTAATTTTTATAAAATAAATGAAGTTTATGCTCTTCTCAAGCCATGTGTTTCCTTGAATCTGTCTTACTGTTGATCTGATAGGCTTGCAAGACTTTCTCAGTATATTGGTTTAACTACTTTTAAGGTGACAGTCATTTCTCAGAAGTAAGTGCTGGTAAAATAGCTGTCTTTGCAGAGCGAAGTGCGTGAGTAGGAATGCTAAATGCCACCAGATTGAGAATAAACACAACACTCAATCTTCAGCCTCATTACCAAGGGGGCAGCTGCGTTTCAGCGACAATAATTTTGTCACTTAAGAAAAACAGCTTATCTTTAGCGGGCTCTTTTTTCTAGGCATGGGTAGAAATTGATTACAGCACTGCTTGACAGTAGTGTTGTTTAACTTGGTTTTTTCTTTATAATGTTGGCTGGTAGTAGAAACCAACGGGAGAGAAAGTTCATCTATTGTTCTCCCTTCTGCTCTTTCCAGCCCTATTGATTTTAATAAATGCTTTAGGAAGAGCTCTCTGGCTCTTTACAAAGACAACACAGATGAGCCTGATACCTGTAGTTAGGCAGGTTTTTCCAAAATCTATGTCCTAGTGCTTCTGGGTTTGTTGAGGGGTTTGTTGTTTTCTTTGGCTGGTTGGTTGGTTTGGGGTGGTTATTTTTCCTCTGTATGTCAAAAACCTTTACAGGCCTTGTGTGATATGAAATAACACTGATTGACCAAGAAGACAATTGGTGTCCTAGGCTACATTGGGAAGAGTGTTGCCAGCAGGTCAAGGGAGGTGATCCTTCCCCTCTAATCTGCCTGGGAGAGGCCTCACCTGGAGTATTGTGTACAGGTCTGGGCTCCCCAGTACGAGAGAGACATGGAGCTCCTGGAGCAAATCCAGTGAAGGGCTACAAAAATGATTAAGGATCTACAGCATCTCATAGGAGGAAAGGCTGATGGAGCTGGGCCTCTCCACCCTAGAGAAGGGAAGGCTCAGGGGGGGTTTGTTCAGGGTGTATAATCTGAAGTGAGGGTGTCAACTGGGTGGGACCAGATTCTTCTGGATGGTGCCAGGCAATAGGATGAGAGGCAATGGGCATAAACTAATAAAAACTTCAGGCAAGCACAATGGGTTGGGTTTTGGTTTTTTAAATAAAATCTTGGTATACCTTGTAGTTCTGGCACAGCCACTTCATTTCTGAGCAAGTGCTATATGATCTTTAAACATGAAACTAGCTCCATAAACCAGCTTTTCTGCACAAGACCTGACAAATCTTCTTCTCCAGGATGATGCCCCTTCCACAGTCATCTCAATTACTGTCCTATTTTGATATGGATATTTTTTCATTCTTTTTAGTAATTTTTTTCTTGAAGTATTCTAATACTTCAAGTGAAAATGGTTTCCATGTGCCTCTGAGGGAGCAAAAGTGACTGTTACTCCATCATGAACCTTGATGTTTTTTCTTTTGCAGTCATAATTTCACAGGTATTAAGTACACTGTCCTTGCATCTCCCTAGTCTGTGTATGTGAGACTGCCATTGTATCCACTGCTCTTCACCTTTACTCGCTTGGAAGGGTTTGTGTGGAGCTGTCTGCAAAGGAGGTTAGACACTGCATGTGGGAGGTTGGCGGAAGGAGTAATGGGCTGGAAGATCAGAGGAGGTTGTGATGAAGTCAGCTGTAACAGGAAGGTGATGCTAGAAATTGCAAGATGCTCTTTCTTTTAAAGTGTGGGATTTCTGATGGCAGTTGACAGCTTCCACTGTCCTGCTGAGGACTGAAAGCTGGTACAGCCAGCAGCTCTTTGGGCTGCCTTGTGAATCAGGATGGAATTCTGGAGTGCCATTTGGGGAGTTTCCAAATGTGCTTTTGGTCACTTTTGAGGATTGAGCCAGACCAGCCTTCTGGAACTTGACAGCAGCGATGTGAATTGCTTACACAAGTGCAGTAACTCAAGTTGTTGTTCCTTGTGTGCATGTGTGTGCATTTATTCTAATTAAAATACTCCCTACAAGTCTTGCCTTATATAAGCTAGGACAAGGTTTGGGGAAGTTAGATGAGTTCTAGATGTCCTCTTTAGTTCTAGATGTCCTCTTTAGTTCTAGATGTCCTCTTTAAGGTGTAAAGAGGACCTTTTAAGTCAGCTTGCACCATTGTGTGTTGTCGAGCATCTTGCATCTGCAAACTCTCCACTGAGTTCAGTGAAATGGTTCCTGTCCCGGCTTGACCTGTGTGTTTTGCTCTCATGTCTCCCCTTGGAAAGGATCTTGCCTATACAAGTATGTGATGCTTGACCTCCTAGATTTCAAATTTAAATTACTGACTTGCAAAGCCTTTTTACAACTCCCTAATGCTCTGCTTACATTTGCAATTGGTTTGTTTACATCCATGCAGACAAGGGAATCTCTGCCACAGGGTTAACGGTCCAGTGAAGATTACACTTGTCAGTGAGCATTTGTGAAAATGAATATCTTGAGGATTTGGAAGGATGTAATTTCCTTTGCTACTTACCAGAGTCTGACTTAATTTTCATTCTCAAACTTGGCTTGAGGTAAGATTAAGACTATGGACAACTACAGGAGGCTTAAAACATTTAAATAATACAGTTGCAGATTGAAATGTTAATGCCAAATGGCTTTGAGAGGGGATTCAGTTTTGTGAGTGGACCCTGAGGTCTTCCTCCTGCCCGCGGCTCCTCTGGTGGGGTGGAATGTTTCTCCAGCCCCTTCCCATTGGCCGGGCTTGTTTGTCCAGGTGTCTGCCTCTTCCATAAAAGACAGAGATTGCTGGGCCCAGCGTGCATTTGGCAATCACTGCAGCAAAGCAAAATGACACAAAGTGTCTATTTGGTTATTTTACTTTTGTGTCTCGGATTAATGTATCCTCTTGTAACTGGGATTTTTATGGACAAGCTTGCCAGCCAGAAGCTGTGTGCTGATGATGACTGTGTATGTAAGTAATTTTGCTATAAGTCTGAGAACAAAATAAGTCTTAAAAAATGACTATGGAGGTTGGATGCAGTAGTGTGAGGGGAAACTATGGGTTTTAGTTATTTATTTGACTGTGTTATATTTGCATGGCTTTGTCAACTTTAAAAGCAGAGTTGGAGGGTTTATTACATGCAGTTTTGCTGCAAAAGTGTTCTGTAAAGGACATTTTCCACTCAGGTGTAAGTTAAGTGTAGAGAAAAGGATTTTAACTTCCACTGTGATGAAATGGCACATTCTTAAGCTGTTACTTTACTTTCTGGAGAATAGAAAAATGAGCAGAAATATATCTTGAGTCTTTTCTTAATTTCAGGATAACCTACTTTTTCACCTGTAGAAATCATTTCACATGTGCACACAAGAACACACACATACTTAACGATTCTCTCTCTAAAAGTATATATGTTTTTAAATTCATCCACCTCATTCTTTCTTTATTGTTTTTTCCTAGACACCATTTCCCTTGCCAGAGCAGAAGAGGACTATAATGCTCCAGACTGCAGATTCATTAATATTAAAAAAGGGCAGTTGATTTATATTTACTCAAAACTAGTGAAAGAAGAAGACTCCAGAGAATTCTGGGCTGGAAGTGTAAGAGGAGATTCTTGTGTATATGAGCAAACCAGAAGTAGATTAACACATATTCCTGTCAAGAAATAGATTCTAATGCTGAGCTATTGTGGGTTTTGAAGCAGCAACTTAGTTTTCAAAGGGAATGTTTAAACTTAAAGAGATTGAGGAGTCTTGAGGGATTTGGGGGAGAGATGTTTGTTTTTTAATGAAATATCTTCAATAACTATATGGTAATTATAAGCTGAACCCTAATGGAAGGGCTCAACGGTTCCTTTCTGTGGCTGCTGAAATGATGTAGGAAAAAGCTTTTATCACAGTTGGGCTTAACTTTAAATTTAAGGGAAGCAAGGACAAATATTAGCTGTATTGATTAAAAAAAAATCCAGATGAACTACAGATGGCATTAATTTCCTCCAAAAAATGTATGCCTGGATCAGAACTTTTGTTGATGGTTCCTTTCATGTGCTGGCTAATTGGAATCTAGGAAATCTAAAACCAGAGTAAGAAACACTGTTAGTAACTGCCTTTGACTAAATTATGAACTAGCTCAAACCAGATGAGGACTGTTTTAAGGTACCTAATTATACATCTCCTTGCTTGAAGGTTTATGGAGAACAGTATGAAGACCATATGGGGACAGTTGGTTATTTCCCTAGCAGTTTAGTCTCAGAACAACATGTCTATCAAGAAGCAAATAAGACTGTTCCTACAACGGTAAGGAATTTGCAAAAGCCCAGCTGGCTACGTAATTATGCTTGGCTGTGTAATGCTAATTTGCTGTAAAAACAAATCATAATGGTGGCAGATGATTGTAGCGTATCACAGATGCTTAGGGATCCAATCTTTGGGCCTTAATACAGGCAAATAGCCTCAATAAAATCCCTAACATAAGCTCTGACATTGCAGATGTTACAAATGCTGCATTAAGGCTTTGATCCTATTAGAGTTCCTACTGACTGGAATAGTATTCCTTCAAGGCCACACAAGTTTTACCCAAAGCTTTCTATTTTAGTCTGGACATTGTGCTGCATACTTCAGTAACGTGTACAAGTGCTCTTTCTATTAATTGTATGCATCGATGGGCACTGTCATACAGAACTTCTGGTTTACTTGAAGCACGTTTGTTTTCTCCTAACGCAGTTACTGGTAGGTCAAAAAGCTGAATTAAAAAGCTTTCAGAAACATGTTCGTGTTCTGTAAGTAGGCTGTATTTCTGAAGGGGTGATTGCCCCTCATCACGTCCAGTAGTGTCTTGTACACCAGACAATTTGTAACCTGAAACACTTCACAGAAGAATGGAAGAGGAGGATCCTTTCTCAGAGGCTGGGATGGTTTGGCTTACAATTAATGCTTATTAGTAGCTTATTTCTGTGCTTCAAAACAAATTGAGTGGTAGGTTTACAGCA